CTGTCCGGCAGGTAAAAAACGTAAAAAACCACTGTCGGCGACTTGAAAAAAAGGCTGTCAGGTGCCATGGCCTAGGTTTCTCACTGAAAATCCTCGTCCCCCGGCGGCACCTTTTTTTGAATTTTCTTCCTTTTCAACGCGGTTTTTCGGGGATTTCGGATTTTCTTTGAATTTTTTCGCAATAATATTTGAAGAACAGATAGCTTTTAACACATTTTAATGCAAAAAAATTGTTGGTCGGAGTCCCCCTTTAAATTAAAAATATCGAATTTTGGGTAAATCCCGAAAAAATTCTGAAATTTTCAAAATCGATTTTTTAGAAAATTTCAACAATATATAAGTTTCAGGCCCTGAGATTGAGATCACTCTGGATGAAGAAATGCATAAAAGAATGGTTGCAGCGATTGGAAAAGGACCGGCATTGGTGAGAATTTTGTCTGGAATTTCGAAGAAATTCAAATTTGGCTGATTCTGACAATTTTCTAAAAATCTGAAAATTCTAAAAAATTCTGGAATTTCTGAAGTTGCTGAAATGCTGAAATTTTGAAAGAATCTAGATATCGAGGTAATTCTAAAATCTACAAATTCTGGAAATTCTGAAAATTCTAAAAAGTCGAATTTCTGAAAATTCAGGATATCCTAGAAATTTTGAATTTTGAAAATTCTGAAAATTCGAAATCCTGGAGCTTGAAAAGTTCTGAAAACACTGGAAATCTAAAAAATTCTGGAAAATCTGTGAATTCTAAAATTAAGGGAAATCAGGAAATTCCGAGAATGTTGAACATTCTGGAAAGTCTGGAATTTAGAAAATTCTGAGTTTTTGAATATTTTGAAAGTTTAGAAAATTCTGGAATTAAGAAAATCACGAAATTTCTAAAAAAAAATCTGAATTTTAGAAAATTATGGAAAATTGAATTTTTTTAAAATTTCGCAAAAAAAACAATTTTCAGCCATTTCGCAAGGTTCCAGGCTTCAAATGCAACTATATCTCGGTAAGATATGATTTCTCCTCAAAAATCTACAAAATCGTTTTTTTGTGGATTACTGTAGCTTTGGAAACATTATGAGAGCTATTCCAAAACTACAGTAATCCCCAAAGCTAGAAATATGCTCGAAAAGACACTAGTTACATATAAATTGCGCAAAATTCTCGTTATTTACAAGAATTGCCAGGATTACGGTAGTTGTAAATTATGAGCAACCTCAAAGAATTGAAAGAAAAGCTAAAAAAATTTTAGAACGCCGACAAACTGAAGGCCAAACAACCGAAATCAATCGGCTACAACAACGAAGAAGACGACGATGAAGTCGTTCAGGATAGTCCGGATGTTTTTGCGAATTTAGTGAAGGAAGAAGGCGAAAATTCAGGGAAAAAATCCAGAAATCCCAAGAAATCTGCTGAAAAGGGAAAGAAAAAGGAGGTAAATTTTCTGAAAATAGTCTAAAAATCCTAAAAAATCAATTTTCAGCCATCTCGTACCATCGCCTCACTCGCCGAGCTATCCCGCTGGCGCCATTTCTCCCCACGTCATCCGGACACGTGGCATCACTTCATGGTCAACGCTGGACTCTCCCAGGTGGACACTGATGTTGACCTCACTTTCGCCTTCTACCAGGAATCGAAGTTTTGATTTTTTAACTTTTCGAAATTTTTTCCTCTGATCTTTTTTATAGCTAACAGTGCATTCTGAACTTTTAAATTACCTCATGTTTTTAAAAATAAATCTCATTTTGCTGTTTTTTTCGCTCGCAAAGTCTATAAAAATGACAGAAAATCGCTAATCACGAAAACATTCTGAATCACCGAAAACATTCTGAAATTTGAACTTCCCTCCAATATTTCTTCCCCTGGCCGAGATTCCTCCGCGCTCTTCCACGGCCAGCTAATCCTCCTGAAAGCGAGAGAATGTGGGGAACGAAGAGATGCAGACACTGCTTACTCGGGTTTATTTACCCAACAAACTGTCAATTTCTCACCATTTTTGATAGCTAATTATCGATTTTTCTCGATTTTTTGCTTTAAAATTCAAAAAATTCAGAATCCTGGCTAAAAATTGATGCAGAATCTGGCAGAATGGCGTCGGCAGGCACGCCAGGATCTCGCGGAAAGCAGCAGGTCTGGGAATTCTTTGAAAAATTAACTAAAAATTGAAAAATTCCAGGAGCACACCCCATTATCAAACGAAAGACCCGAGAAACCTCCTCTAACCAGGGATTCCAGTGTGTAAGTTTCAAAAAAAATTTGAAAAATGTAATTTTTCGAATTTTTAAAAGAATATATAATTCCAGAATGCAACAAGTTTCCCATTTCATCGGCATCTCTGGTAGTGGTCAAGAGGCGAATCAAGAAAAATCGAAATGGGACAAAAAACGGTTTGCTGGAAATTTTCGAAAATTTTTCAAAATTTTTAATTTTTAGGTTACGAAGAATCGCTCAGAAATACAGTCTAAACGGGAATGAGGTGCAGAAAATCGGTAAGAATTTACAAAAAAAATTGAAAAAATTGTATTTTTCACTCAAAAAAATCGAAGCTGACCGTAGCCGTGAGTCCCACAACGACAACTACAGTAACCTAGAATTATTCATATTTCAGCATTTTTTTCTTGTTTTTTCTGAATTTTTTCGATTTTCCTGTTATTTTTCCTCAAAAAAATAGAGGAAAATCGGAATTTTAGGTGATAAATTGACTGACTGAAAATTCGATTTTCGTACTTTTTCAATAAATTAAAAATTTTTATTTTCCGACTTTTTTTGCGGAAAAATAACAGAAAAATCGGCAGAAATCAGTTGAAAAACGAGAAAATAAGTCCCAAAAATAACAAATATTCTCAGGTTACTGTGCGACCTTTCGCCCGATTTTCTTACTAGAATAATACTGAAAAATGGAAAATTAACGAATTCGAAAAATTAAAAAATTCCGAAAATCCTAAAATTAGAAAATTCTGGAAATCCTGAAATTGAGTAAGTTCTAGAACTTCTGGAATTTAAAAAATTCTGGAACTTCTGGAAAATCTGAAAATCTGAAAAATCTGAAATTCTGGAAATCCTGAAATTTAGAAAATTCTAGAACTTCTGGAATTTAGAAAATCCTGAAAAATCTGAAATTCAGAAAATTCTGGAGTTTAGAAAATTTTGGAAATCCTGAAATGCAGAAAGTTCTGAAAAATCTGAAATCTAGAAAATTCTGGAAATCCTGAAATGTAGAAAGTTCTGGAAAATCTGAAATTTAGAATATTCTGGAAATCCTGAAATTTAGAAAGTTTTAGAACTTCTGGAATTCACAAAATATTAAAATTCTGAAAAATTGAAAGTGCTGGCTTTCTGAAATTCAGAAAATTCAGGAAATTCTAAAATTCAAAAAATTCTGGAAAATCTGAAATTTAGAAAATTCTGGAAAATCTGGAATTCTGAAAAATTTTTCAGTCCATCAACACCGCTCTATCACCAACGCCCCCTCCATCGAATCCTCCACATTCCTGAGCACCCTCCCAACACCTTCCTCCCCAGATGACGTGGAAAAAGGAATTATTGCTCAGCGAGTCTCCGCAAGGACACCAGTCGGCCGTATTGGCCACACGCCTTCTTTTCCCAACTATGAATCGACGTCTACAAGTTTTGAAGGCTCACGACAGAGAGCTGACAGCTTCTCACAGACACAGGTGGACATCTGGACAGACAGACAGACAGATTTTAATTCCTTTTTGCTGAATTTCAGGACCTCTCTCAATCTCGGTTGTCTCGAATGTCATCTCAACAACGGGAATCTGTCTCCTCGGCTGTGCTGAGTTCGGTTTCGAATTTTTTGAAAAAGTGAGACTGCAAACTACACAATTTGACTACAAACTACAAATTTCCAGGGGCTCGTTCATCAACAAAAAGCGCCTGAAACTCCAGTCGTCTCTCGCCACAAAATGCTCGTTTGACATCGATACGGTCACAGAATCTCCGTTTCCAGAATCCACAACGACGCCGTCGTCAGAAGACGTGTCACCAGCTGGAATTGTTTTTCAGACGACGTCTGCTGGCGACGTGGCAACGATTCCAGAATCGATTGAAATGAAGACGTTTCCGAGAGGAGGAGGAAGAGTGAAGGAGTTAGAGAAACCAGGTGGAATTCCAGAGGAGACGTCGTTCGAAGTGGAAATTGAGGAAATGGGAGATATTGATGAGGCGCAGGGAGGAGAGATGGGTAAGGAGAATGGAAAAAATCTAAAAAATCTAAAATTAAGCGTTTAAGCGTTTCAGCGCCATTTTACCATGATGGCCTATCTTTTTCAAGCTGGTGATTTCTAGGCCACCATGCTAAAATGGCCGAGAAATCATCCCAGGTGAATTTCAGACCATTTCTAGGCATTTCAGCATGGTGGCCTAACTTTTTCAATTTTTAAAAAGTTCGGCCACCAGGCGAAACTGACCTAAAATGGCTCAAAAACGGTCAAAAATGGCCGTCGTAGCTCAATTTTTGCAAAAAAATCAGTCTAATCCCTTTCCAAGACGTTTCAGATCCCTCTGCCATGTCTCGAATGACTGCCAAGATCCGAAAGAAGTCGTCCGTTCGCGTCCCCCCGCTTGCCCGCTTCACTGACCATGAGCCACATCTAACAGAGAGCAAATCTGCTCCACCGCCACTTCTTCAACGCTTCAAAACGACGACAACTCCAGAGCGACCTTGTAATCTAGGAGAAGGAACAAGGCCAATAATCCATCCATCCAGCTCATTGCCTAGTAGAGTTGGATCGCTGAGATTGAAGAAGAAGACGTCACGACAGGAGGATGAGGTGCTGGAGATGTTGGCTGAAGAATCGGAACAGAAGGATCGTGAGGATGGGAGGGCGGGGCCAAGTTTTAGAATGGCAGCTAGGAGTAGAAGGCCCGCCTATCTCCCCATCGAACGATCTATCTCCCTGGTCGACGAGGTCTTCTTCGACACTCCCAAACCCCATCTCCGTCCCATACCCTCTGAACTTCAAGGACCCGCCGGGATGTTTCCCCCAGAAGTGGACCATTACCATCCGGACATTGCTCAGTCCCCACCAACCTCCGCAAGACTCTCTACAGCAAGCCCGTACCCCTTCGAAACTGCCAAGATTACTGTAGTCCCTGAAGTCGTTGGCTATCCCCACGCAGCCAACATCACATACATCGATGTGGGAGATAGCACTATAAATGTGCCAAAGGCAACGGCTTTGGGAGCACGAGAGGGACCGGTGGCTAGTAAACGACCGGATAGGATTGATAGTCACCGTCATCAGCTGATTCGCCAGCACACGGCTTTTGTTGAACCTCTGGAGGACCCAATTTTAAGGCAGTATAAACAAAAACACGACCGAAAAAAGGCAGAAACCTCTAGATTCGCTCAAAAAATCGCTGAAACCAAGCCAGCCAAGCGTCAGCGTGGAATTGGGATCTTTGGAAAAGTCTTCAACCGATCCTACAAAGACGATCTGGCTCCAGAGATCCGTTTGATTCTAGAAGAGGGTGCAGAGGAGCGAACTTGGTTCACCTACTGGATGATCACAATTCAAACAGTTGTCTGTATCCTCAGTCTAGCCTTGTATGGCTTAGGACCTTGGGGCTACTCGGTGACACAGCTATCCGATGATGTCATGGATGTTACTTTGTCCAATAGACGGGTTTCTTACCTAGAGCAAGACAATCTTTGGTTGGGACCACATTACGCTGATTTGATACGTCTTGGAGCCGTCTACTCGCCTTGTATGCGTCGGGAGTTCAAGTTGTGGCAAGCGATAGAGGAGGAGAGGCAGAAGGAGAATCAGACAGGCTGTTGTATAGCGAATGATCATAGTGGATGCTATCAGAGTAGCGCGACTATTTGTCCGGTCAGTAGAGAGCACCAGTTGGGTTCCGGGACGTTTCAGAACCCGATGTTTCGGAACCACGACGTTTCAGAACTTCTCTGCATTTTTGTATAGTGGGTTTTGCACACCAAATAAGCTTTGCTCATACCAATTTTGTGTTTTTCTGTGCTTTACCGTACTCCAAATAATGATAGGTTCACACTGGGAATCTCTCAAAAAATCGAAAAAAAAATTGAAAATTTCAAAACGATGTCTAGAAGTACGCAAAAATTTTTCCGGCATCGGATGTGTATTGCACCATTTTTACCAAAACCGTGAGAGAGAGCTCGTGTGTCTTGCTTCCTGTCAGGGATACCGAAAATCTGTCTGCTGGTTAAGTGTTTGTCATATTATGAGCAGCATTTTGTTAGTTGACTGCTTTTTGCTCTCTGTTACAGGAGGAGAGACATATGGGCTCGAATTTGACACTCTAGTTGGAGGACCACCTTATCTTTAAACTTTGGACGCCTATATCTCGCTTCCTGCAAAATATATCAAAAATCTGTCAACTGATAAATTGTTTATCACAATATCAGCAACGTTTTAACAACTACCACTTTTCGATGTCTCTTACAGGAAGCGAGATATACGGGCTCAAAGTTGGCGGTTTGGAGGTGGCCTTCCATTCAATTAGCAATGAGCAATCAATTGCCTCATTTTCAGAATCCGGATATCTCCACCGTCAAGACGATTTCCAATAAATTCGTTCGATACAGTGTTAAAAAAGAGGCGATCGATGCGTTGAAGAAGTTTGGAATGTTGAAGAATAATGCTGAGCAAACATCGGATGACTCTTATCATGAATCCAGTAAAAGAGCAAGAGTTTCCCCGTTGGAAGAAGCCACCTCATCATTTTCATCTGAATCATTTGAATCCACGTCTGTCTGGGGTCTCTCATAATCATCAAAACGGTTACAACAACTATGTGATGTC